TTCATAGCCATTTTTTGCCAAGACGACCAAGATTAGATAGGAATCGATTACTTTCACTCATGTCGTACATTTTCCGAAAACAGTTGCCGCAGAGCCAGTTGATACCTAATCCGCTGATCGCTGATTTTACGACATTTTTTGCATTCAATTGTCTCGCCGCCAGTCCTAATCCGCAGTTTCTCACACTCGCAAAATATGCGTGTCTTTAATGTGAATTTTCTTCGGATTGCTGTTCAGCTTCTCCAGTGGGACGGATTTAGTCGAGGACTCTCCCATTGCGGCGGTAAGCTTAAAAAGGACGTTTCAAGCGGCGTCATATACGCGGCATTGGCGCGAAGACGATGTGACATTGCATTGCTACAGTACGACAGTTAGCTGGGAAATTTTCTGTTGATTTCATTGCATTGCTATATTACGAGCTCTTGAACTTGACTAATGAAAACGAATTGCCTCAGGAAAACTGCTTTGGTTGTGGGAAGCCACACGGGGTGTACCAAATATGCTGCTCTCCCCACCAAACGAGAAACTATCGTCTGTTCACTCTAATCGTCTGTTTTCTTTGATCGCAGGGAGGGAACGGCTGTCTACGTGAGAGGGCACGGAGGAGCTCACTTAATCGGCTGCCCCCTCCCCAATCACAAAAGCTCAGGGAAACTGTACCTTCATGGGAGAGGTTTTTGTAAGACCAACTCAGCAACGCATACAATTTTCAGCTCAACAGAGCACCAAAATGAGAAAGTTGTGTGCAGTTCGAATTCGCTCCCGGTATTGCTTGACGTCTATAAAGGTAATTTTCAAGCTCTTTCATTAATGGATCTAGTTTGTTTGCTCACAATATCACTGCAATTCGAGTCACTCCGCTCGAAACTTCCTCGAGGTTGTTTTTTTAGGGGACATTCTTGAATATGATGAGCGCCTAGCTGGTGCTGGATGTGTTTGCTCCACAGAAGTGTAGGTTTCGCATTTTTTAGAATGCTCTAAAGTTCTCTTGTCATTTCTAGGATAGAATTTGTTAGGCCGCGCTCATAATTTGCTACTCGTTGGGATAGAAGAATCGACTGATCAGCAAGAAGTGAATGAAATTGATCGACTTTGTAGGTTCGCCCGCATTCTCCTAGTTCGCCGATTCTCCTATACTTCCAAGTCGCTAGCTACCGTAGTCCATCGATTTGGCTAATGCCGTTTGGACTCCAGAAATTTCGTCTTCGAGCTCATTTTCAAATTGCCTAAGTCACCAAATCCACTAAAAACTTGTATATAGGGGTAATTCAACATCCTGATTACGAGTATGACACTCATTCTTGGCGCTGGCGCCAAGAGAGGACACTACGATTACCTCCTGGGCTCAGCCTTAGCAGAGCGCAGGTAACCGTAGTGTCATCCATTAGCGCCAGCGCCAAAAATGAATGTCATATTCGTGATCAGGATGTTGAATTACCCCTATATACAAGTTTTTAGCGGATTTGGTGATCTTGCCGAAATTTCTGGAGTCCAAACGGCATTAACTCATCGATTTCCATCTGTTCCTTCGGCGCGCAATCTCAAAAACCTTTGTTTGCCAATTCTCCAGTTGTCCCAGGTCGCTGGATTGATACCTATAATTTACTCGGAGCTCATTCTTCAAAAGTGTCAGGGACTTCAGAGACACATTCAGCGATTTTCTGAGTGATAGAATCCTCATGAAGAGCACAGTTCTGCAATTACTTTGAGTGTACCACTTTCACCGGCAAAACGTAAGGCCCCTAGGGGCTCGCTGTGAACAAAACTCACCCTTTCGAAGTATCAGTGCCCACAAGCATGCGACTTTCCTTTCATAGAGTTGTCGTCAGCCTTCTCTCTCTTGTATGGACAGCGCCTGAGGGAGAAGTCGTGCAAGCGCAGGTTCGCGTCTGCGTTTGTACAGCCTCTTACTGAGCGTCTCTGTGTCACTAATCCTTTTCATTCATGCTCGTTCAGCTTGGAACTGACCGTGGACTTACTTGGGGCTTGGCGCTAGGCTTGTATTGAGCTGGTTTCTACTAGTGCTTTTTCTGACAGATAAGTCATTCAGCACTCAAAAATTCATTTTTGAGCCCCCCCCCCTCTAGTGCTCCAGTAGAAAAAGGACGATAGGGTTATGGGAAAGCAATTTCTGCGCGGCGTATTTTCAGTGGACAACCGTGCGTGTAATAGAAGTAACTGTTTCATTAACGCTGGTAATGTATTTTAGGTTGGCTAGGTCTTTGGTACCACCTGTGATTCTGTTCCAGATATTGTTTGTTTATTATTGTTAAACACTTAAGTACCTAGAAATAGCAATTTTAGTGATTTTGCAGATCCCCTGAGCTAATATTCTATTTTGCGATTCATCAATTTTCACCTGCAAAGTGGTTGGTATTTGTGTGTTGTAAGTGCTTTTGTTTAGTATTGAACACATTCCAAAGGAAGATGCGACGCGTTTTGTACGATCTGTGCTTCTGAATATTCGACCACAGCTGTTTATTATTTCCACCCCAAATCACGAAGTACAACGAAGCTTTCGGAATGCCTAACGGAAAGTTTCGTCATGATGATCATAAATTCGAGTTCACACGGCATCAGTTCAGAAATTGGTGCGATTTTGACACTGTTTGACTTTTTAACCGAAAAAATTGCGTTTCCGGATTGTCTTAAGTTGTTTTGGTTTGTTTCAGGTTGTTTGAAATCATCAAAGATTTCTCTGACGATTACGATTACGTGGTCAAATATGTTGGTAATGTCCAAGGTAAGCAATAGATTTTATTTGTGGATTTTTTTAATGCACATTAATACATTAACTAATTTTGCCTGTTTGAGCAGTTTTTCTGTGCAGGCTGTATCATTATCATTATTTTGACGCCGGTCCCTTCCAACTGGAATCCGACCTTTTTGCCAGTGAAGAAATCGTCTGCGCTAGGATTACTTGAAGCTCTGGTTGCGATACTATACTATTTCAGCGTCATATTTCCGCCACCCCCGAATATTTTTGGTGTCGGCGCTTTAGGCACCAGATTGGTGTCAGCGCTGACTTATTGTTAATAACGCGAATTTTTTCACCGAATTTGCCTTCATACCCTAGAAGAGGTTTTCAGGGCATCTATACTCTTACACCCTCAGAAGGCATCACCTTCCCCGAAAATAATAACACCGCAGGAAGGAAGCTACTGGAGTGAGAACGCTTGAGCTCTCGCGTTCCAGCGAGTATCCCCTGAAATCAACCGCAGGGATAAGCTCATGGAAGAAATCAACCACAGGGATGAGCTCAGTGAGGCTAATATCTTAGCGTTAGCTTAGCGAAAGCTCACAGTAACGTGTGTTCGAGCGAATTCTCATTTTTCCAAAGGAGACCTTTCATTTCTCAGTCGGAACATCAGCTTGCTTGTGGTTTCCGGAAAAAAAATTGGGAAGTGTGCATGATATGCAATGCACAACAGCACAGAACAGAGCTAGGTTCTCACGTTGCCGTCAGTCCACGCGGTGTTCAATGTGCTAAGGTAAGGAATGGATTTAGAGCGCTGGAGCGTCGGCAACTCATTTGTCAAAGAGACTTCGGTAAAACCACCAAAGTTTATTATCTGGTCTGACCCTCCTTCGCCGGTGACATTGTGTGCATCCCTTTGTTGAGATGTGCCCAAGGTTTGCTTCCGATTAGTGATATAGAAAATTGAACAAAATTCAGGTTATGCTAGCCTCGGAGGCGCTACGCAATTTGGAATAATACGGCGTAAACATAACGATGTTCTGAAGATGTTACCTCATGTCTGTTCAAGGTCTTATAAAAAGGTGAAACTTTTCAAATATTGCCTGCCTTTTCTTATCATTATTTGCCGCACAAATTACTATTCCTGATTATCTAATGCGATTTTCTTTCTTAAGGCTGGTGAACTAGTAGTGAAGAATTCCTTTTTTGCTCTGGAACGAGAGAAGATTAAGCAGGCGTTCATCTTATGGTTAGAGGAAAACCCACTTCTGCAAGAAAACTTGATCAAGGTCGCTCTTATGGCTCCTACTGTTTTAGACTATTAACAAAAATTAACGAAAAGACTCATTTTCAGAGCTACATTGGTGAATTTTGGCGAGTGTGTATGACGACTATTATGAACAATATAGAACTCCCTTCACAACTAAAGAACGGCCTCAGCAAAAAGTCACTAGTGTAAGTTAAACTCGCCTATTCTCTATATAGAGAGCTAGATCTTCTGGTAGCACAAAAGTCAGCACAGTATTTCTTAGCTAGTTGACATGATACACCACAACAGACAAGTTGGACCAACTAGCTTTTGTTCCAAATGCCGCATGCGCGCGGCTCTGCTTGTTTCTTGCTGTTTTGCTTTGTGTACGGACAA